AATAAGGAAGAATTAGGAAAGTATTTTGATTTGAGAACCCTACTCACTAATCTCTCTGGTTCTGTCACTAGCTTCCACAACTGCTTAGCAATCATGGCAGTGTTAAACAGCTTAATATCTTGAAAACCAAGGCCACCATGCTTCTTCTTCAGAGTCAATTTGTTCCAATCCACCCAATGCAGCCCTTTATGTCTAACTGCATCTTTACTCCACCAAAATTGGCTACACACAGCTGAAATCTCATTGCACAACCCTGTTGGTAACACAAAGCAAGACATTGCAAAGATGGGAAGGGCATTGAGCACTGCTTTAATGAGGACCTCCTTCCCAGCAGTTGAAAGCCATTTATTTTTCCAGCTATAAATTCTCTTCTTAACAACATTCAGCACATAAGTAAATGCTTCTGATTTGGACCTCCCAATCCCTAGAGGTAACCCTAAGTATCTGGTAGATGAATGCATTTGAATCCCAGCCAAAACAGTGCAGACACTTTGCTTTGTCACATCAGATGTGTTCTTGCTGAAAAACACTGTAGACTTGTCCATACTAACCTGTTGCCCAGTGAATTCCTGAAAATATTTTAGCATGAGCAATAACTTCCTAGCCTGCCCCTCATCAGCCTTACAGAAGATCAAAGTGTCATCTGCAAACATTAAATGAGTCAACAGAGGACCCTCCCTGGACAGTCTCAAACCTTTGAATTTCCCTCTCTCAGCATCCATAAGTATCCTGGCAGATAGCACCTCAGAGATGATAAGAAAAAGATAGGGAGACAGCGGGTCTCCTTGTTTAATACCCCTGGATGCTGTAATATAACCACAGGACTTGCCATTAATATTAAAAGAAAATGTAGGCATTTGAATGCAGGCCAATATCCACTTAACAAACTGTCTGTGAAAACCCATCCTCACCATCACCAACTGCAGAGCTTTCCACTCAACACAATCATATGCTTTATGAATATCTAACTTTAAAGCCATGAAGCAATTTTTCCCACTTCTGTGTCTGTTCAAGAAATGAAACACCTCCTGCCCTATAATCACATTATCTATCAATTGTCTGCCTGGCAGAAAGGCATTTTGATTTGCAGATATACAAACATTCAGACACTGTCTCAATCTCAAAGCCAATATTTTGGATATAGCCTTATAGAAAACAACACATAAACTAATCGGCCTGAAATGAGCTACAGATACAGGATTTGGGCATTTGGGTATGAATGTAATAAGAGCATGTTTCCAATACCTGAGCATCTGCCCTGAGTCAAAAAAACTCTTCACAGCTGTACAAATATCAGGGCCTATTATGGGCCAGAAGTGTTGATAAAAAAGCCCTGTCATGCCGTCTTCTCCTGGAGACTTATCCGGATGAATGCTAAAGATAGCTGCCTTAATAGCATCATCATCAACTGGAGCAATAAGCATTTCATTTAACTCACTAGTAATGGAAGGTTGAATACAAGGCAACAGATCCTGCCCTTTCTTACACCCCCTAGAAGCAAACAGCTGCTCATAAAATTCAATGATTGTCTTCTCAATGAGTGCAGGGTTCTGAGTGAGGCTGCCATCCCCTGTAAGCAATCTGTCAATGCTATTCATTTTCCTCCTCTGAGCAACATAAGCATGGAAGAACTTTGAATTCCTGTCCCATTCCTTCAACCATAAAGCCCTTGCCTTCTGCCTCCAAAAAGCCTCCTCAGAGCAGTTAGCTGCATCAAGCTCCCGCTGCAATCTATCCCATACCTCCCAATTCCTCTCCCCACCCTCTCTCCTCATCTGCTCCAGCTTCATAGTAAGCTTTTGAATAATTGTGCTTCAAAACATGATGGTGCGATAAAATTATTTTATCCATATCAAATAATGGTGCCTTGTTGGAAAACAAGTCTTTTCGGAGATGTCGCTTACGTTTTCACTTTTGACCCTATTTACCCTTCTTTTCCTTGACTTTTTTAAACGTATACGAATTTGTAACACCCCGCCTAGACTTACTAAAATCAGAGTAAATTTTTCGCGCTATAAATGGAAAGCACTTATTTAATTTTCGAAAACTCATATTAATTTTTCGAAAATACTTTAACCTTAATATGCGGGATGGTATTCAACTTTAATCTTAAATCTTTAATCTTTAATGTCTATAAACTTTAGGCATGCAACCGAGTATAATTCATTACTCTAAGGTGCCATGAACATCTCAGGATTTAAGCATGCATAGACTGAAATTCTGAAATACTGAAATACTAGTCTGGAATCCTGAAATACTAGTCTGAAATCCTGAAATATTTAATTGTAAACTGAAATTCTGAAATACTTAAACACTAGTCTGAAATCCTGGAATATTAAAATACTAATCTGAAATTCTGAAACCGTATTTTGAAATTTTGAACTACTGACATACTAATTTGAATATTAGTCTGAAATTTTAAAATACTGACTAGTTTGAAATTCTAAAATACTGAAATAATAATCTAAAGTTCTGAAATACAGTTATAGAGTGCAGAAGCAAATTTATGTTCAAACATTAATGGCAAACAGACAATAAGCGAAACATAAATAAAGCATAATTAATTCAACAATTCAAAACATGACATAACACAAATATCCTGACTGATGACCACCACCACATCCGGCTCACGCTCCATGCGGGACTCCATCACCTGAAAAATAGAGTAGTGGGGAGGCATGAGCACAAAGGAATCAACGGTGCTCCGCCAGGACCGGCACTGAATACTCAGCACAATTAATAACAAACTATGAAATCAACATATATATGAATAAACTGGTCTGGCTATGGGACTAACGGTAAACTGGTACTCATGTGCACACTCTGGGGGTCCCCTCCCACAGAAATCCAGAAAAGGCACTAATCACCCCATCTGGACGCTAGACTTAGGACGGACCCTAATCACACACATCCAAGTCATAACTGAAATACTGAAATATTGACCAAGACGGGATCACTCATTCGTCTCGATCCTTCAATTTAATCACATATAGATCTCAGACATGGTAAATTATTAAAAGCGATGAAATACACAGTACATGGTCCCCACCTGGAAAACGGCGAATGCGGATGCTGAAATATCTGAAATATGATGTATAGCAGGCGGAGGCTCGACTCTCCTCAAGCTACAAAATTTAAGAGCGAAATATTCTATGTACTGGGCTTAGAATAAAACTCGAATCTTTAATACCTTATATATCTAGGTTCGCTCACTCTACTTTAAAAATCATTTTAGGGATTTACGAGCTGAATTTTGAAAATATTATTGTCTTTGAGGCATTCTAGAGTTCTCTGAAATATTTCTAAGTCTGGAACTAAAATCTGACTTAATCTAATCTGACTGAAATCTAAATTATATCTGGATTTTTAATCTATCTGCAATCTTATCTATATCTGAAATCTATCTGAAATATATATCTGAAATTCTATCTGAAAAATATATCTGAAATTCTCTATAAAATTTTATCTCTGAAATTCTATCTGAAATATATATCTGAAATTTTATCTCTGAAATTCTATCTGAAATATATATCTGAAATTCTATCTCTGAAATTCTATCTGAAATATATCTAGAACCGTCCGAACTGACCGGACCGGTTCAAATGAACTGGACCACGGCTCACTCGGAGCCGGTCGATCATTTGCTTCACTATGTGCAGCTCGATTTGACCGTGGTCTGAGTTCGGCGTGGCAACTCGGGCCGACACGAACTCGACAGACACGGCTTAACCGATGCACGGGTTTGGAAAGGTGCCACGGTCACTGACGCAGGGGCGTGCTTGGACCACGGCTAACGGAGACGATGCATAGACGATAGGTCGGATGGACTCGGTGCACGGGCACGCACTCGGGGGTTTGACTCGGACTCGGTGCACGGGCACGCACTCGGTGATTCAGCTACAACGGTAGGACCAGAGGCGATCACGTGCACGAGACGAAGATACGCATTACGACCTAACGATACGACGACTAAAAATTATTCAGACGGTACTAGGGTTCATACATTTATAATCGGATCTGGAAAAATTCCCGGTTATTGGAACCGGATAAAACTAGAGTTTCGATTCTTGAAAATCCTAACTCAATTAACGCCGATAATTAATATACATATTCTATGTGATTTGTAATAAATCTATAATCCACAACTGCAGCTAAAATCTCAATCAAACTAATATTTTATTTTTACGGCATTAATATCTAAAGTCCCGATTTTTATAACTAAGTCAAATGACATCTAAAATTCCCGAAAATTGAAACATAACATCCTCAATATATATATGGTCCACGGTCAACAAATCAAGTCTAAAGTCAACCCCTATACTAGTCAACTAAAAATCGCTACGACCGGTCAACGCATTTGACCGGCTCGTTTACCTATCAAACAACGTCCAAAAATTCTCAAGTTCGCACCTAAGCTTCAAAACGACGTAATGAATTTAATGGTATTTATTTCAACATTTTATCGCATTTATTTTAAAGGTCCCGAAAAATAGCTTTAAGCACGTAAATGTCCCGAAATTTCAAAATCGCTCAAATCGCCCAATTCATTTATTTTATATCATCTCAAATATTTTATCTAAACCATCGAAGTCCAGTTTAAGATCTTTTACCTTAAAACGCCTCGGATCGGAGCAAATGAGAGTGGATCGGGCTAGAAAATGGGTCCAATAAAACAAATCAGGCCAAATTAGGGGCAGTGGGCCTTGGACTCGGGCTGAGGGTGCTAAAATCGGACTAAAAGTGCCGCTGGTTGCGCGCGTGGACTGCAGCTGGTCGGGTATGGAGCAAGAGGCGCGAGTCCGGGCATTTATCGCAAGGTGGCGCGAGCTCGAGCTTGGGAGGCGCGCGTGAAGGCGTTGGCTTGCGGGTTTGGTCAAGGGAAGGTCCCAGTCGCGGTGAGATGCTATTTTTCAGGCGTGAGCTCGCCAAAATCAGGCATGGGATGCGCTGGTGCGGGGTGAGCGGACCTAGTTCACAGAGGCTTGTGAGCTCGGCGGGACTGAGGCTTGTGAACGGCGGATGCGGGTCGTGGGTGACGTGGACGAGCTGGGGAGGAGCTGTTAATGAGTTGCCAGCGACGAGCTACAGTTGTCGGGAACTCGCCAGAAAATGGGCCGACGCACGGATGAGGTCGCGAGCTCGCCGGAAAAGCAAGCGCGGGGCTCGCGAACTGTGCTAGAAACGGCGCGTGGCTCATGAAACCGAGCTGAGAATGGTTCGTTGGCGCAGCTAAGGAGTGGTCGGGACTCGTGCAGGAGTTGCACGGCTGAGAGGACGCTTGGATCGAGCTGCAGCGCGTGTGGAGTTGGACAGGTCGCAACTCAAGGGTGGTGCGGCTCGAGTCGTCGGGGCTTGCCGGCGCGGGTTCGCCGGTGACGGAATCTCATCAGAAGGTGGTCGGATTTTGGAAGAGAATGGCTATGGAGTTGATGCTTGGAGTTCTTAAATGTGGTAGTTAGGGTTTTAATGGGGATGATGATGAATAGTATTTTTGGGGGTGGAATGAGGGTATGTTGTATTTATATGGAGATAAACTAGGGTTTTCTTGTCTTGTTGGGCCAAGATTCGGGCCTTAGGAATACTACCACTCGGGCTTAATAATTCCTATAATCGGGCTTGGGATTTAACACAATAGGCTTTAAAAATCTTAAAACCGGGCTACTAAATTTAATTCGACTTGGACTCGAATTTTATATTGAATATCGATTAAGGAATTAAATGCTCGGTTAATAAAATTAACCGGACTTGGGCTATTTAAATGAGTCGGTCAAATTTATTAGAATAATTGAGCTTGAATTTGAAAATCGACTATAGCTCAATTTTTAAAATGGACTAAAATAAAATCGAACTTGAGCTCGATTTACTAAAATGAAATGAGCCGGCTAAAATAAATGGACTCGCTCATAAATGATTAGGCTCGAATAAATTGATTATTCGTGCTTGGCCCGCTTTAATAAGATTCCGATCATTCATAGGCTCGGTTAATAAATTATAATTGATACTTGGGCTAGATAGATCCGACTTTAATAAATTCTCTGTGGCTTAGACTTTAATAATAATTATTTAATTTAATGTAAATAAATATAATAAATGCATCAAATTAGGAATCTGACTATTTATGGAAATAAAGTCGAGCTCCATAAATAGTAAATAAAAATCTGGGCGTTACAATCTATCCTCCTTAAAATATTTCCATCCTCGGAAATACTAAAACTAAATATAAGTCCGACTCGACTAGAAACTAGGAATCGAAAAGTACATATTACTAGTCAGAACTGAAACTCTAGATAACGAGCGCGAATGTCATTCTCGCTCCTAAGTGGCCTCGGCCTCTGACACTATGGTCTCGGCTACTTCATGGAATCGAGCAATCCCACGGATGTAAATACTGGCAATCTGCTCCATGGTCATCGTCATCCTCACGGTAAAAAGCGGGTCGACTTCACTAGTCGGTCCACAACTACCCAAACCACATCGAGCTCCTCTTTCGATTTGAGTAGTCCTATAACGAAATCCATGGTAATGTGCTTCCACTTTCACAACGAGCTCTAGTGGTTGCACGAAACTGGGGTGGAAACTTGTGCTCAGCCTTCACTTGCTGGCCAACGAACTCAGAAATGCTAAACTAAGGTATATGTCAAAACTCTAAACTTTAAGGCCATATAAAAATGAATCTCAAACCTTGGACTTCTAACTCTTAATTCTGTCTTCCTCCTGCTATTGATATCGACTATGCCATGGAAACTCCGGTATCAAGCCCCCAGGTAAATTCGGACAAGTGACTCTTATTTCAAGACTCCATAATTTACCCGGTCTTATGGCTGTTATACACCGTTAACCCAAGTTCGAGAACTGGGTCTCTGTCTGGATATTGTAATAGGTATGTTCCGGCATCGGCCGGTCTTGCTGGTACTAGTTTGCCATGGCGACTCGCTAAAATCTCATTATGTGCCTTAGATAAAACCCAAGACAAAACTTAAAAACTATACTGGGGAACTTCAAAAGAAGCTCATCGATACACTTCGCAGCATCACCCTAGCTACGGCGGCACTCCTGGACTCAGAAAGACCTACTTCTCGACTCTCTGACTAGTGTACCTTCCGCCACACGGAGGCCATAGGTACTATCTCATGGGTCAACTCGGATCAACGTGAGACTCATCTAAGGATTCCACGTGTTCAAGCTCGAGCACATCTTCTCGAATTCGAGACGTGGGGAAGAATCGCTCAACATTCCCCGAGAATTCCGGCGGCAAAGCCTCAACTGTTAGGCTTAGCTCGCCGTCTCGGCTATATGTTGAGAATGACTGGGCTAAATAAATTGTTGCTCATCTGCAATTGTGACCCTCGGGGTCATCTTGCCGTTCACACTGGTCTCAAAGTCTTTCTGTGGCTGGTCTGTATGCGACTTTCGTCGGTTCAAGGTTGCCTCAGTCTTAGCATGGATCGCTGATCTCTTCCCTATTGTCTGTCAGTTTACTATTTGCCGAGGATCTTTCTCTCGCTATATCTTTCTTGTACGTCAGCGATCCACACGTGTCCGTACTGTTGGAACCCACGAGGATCTCGATATGCACAAATCACGGACAAACATTCAACATAAACCTATGCGCAGCGGATCTAAAGGTTTGATGAAGAAAACTTACTGCTTAAAATTTATGTAGATCTGGCTGGCCCGGACAGTTGACCGCAAATCAAATCTTCTCGGAATCGAACAAACTTGACCAATCCAGAAAGCTGACGTCACGGCGAAGTCAACGGCGTTGAACGATTGGAAAATGGACTTCACACGCGCTCTCACGCGCGACGGCAAGCTTCAGCGACTGGGAGCTTTGGGCGGCGCGTGGCGGCACGTGAGGAGGCGGACGGCGGCGATCTCGACGGCGATCTCTTCGTCTCGTCGTCCTAGTCGTCGTGGTATGGTCACTTGCTGGTTTTGGTCTCCGGTTTGGATGTATGATTGGAATCTCTATATACCTTAAGATCTTCTACTGTATTCTCAAACAGCTTTCTAGATCTTGTATCAGTGGAACACAAGAAATAGAAGGACTCCTTGGAAGAGAGAGAAAGAGAGGGGCGGACGACTTATTCAAGTTGTGGGATTG